CCCGCGTCCCCTGCATCGGCAGGCGGACTCTCAACCGCTGCGCCACCAGGGAAGCCCCACAGCTCCTTTCTAACCAAGGCTGTCTCTTGGGAGAAGGATATGCCTTCTCATCACTGTAGCTGATCTTGAGTCTGATGAGGATTCAGCAGCAGTTTCACAAGTATGTAACAAATATTTATAGGCACTTACTGTGTGCAGGACGCCAAGTCTTGAGGATTTCTACAAGCAGGGTTATAATGCTCTGTGTTAGAATTTCTGGTGTACTTTGTTCATGACCCTGCTCTGTGCCTGGCTGGGTGGACACCTGAGGCCATAAGTAGTCTTTCTGGCCTTCCACCTGCTTCCTCACACGAGCCACAAGACATTCCCGGTGCCTTTAGCCTTCCTTCCGTGTCAGACCTGCCACTCTCTGTAGTAATAGGTTTCAAGGATTTATTTATCTGGGTGTTACACCTCCATATCTGGTTCAAAGTGCTGTTTGTAGAGTCCATGTAAAATGCTGTTTCTGGCACACTGGAGTTGAATAGGCCCGTAATAAAAAATGCTTTAGAAATAGGAAACGAGCACCCATGAAATCTGTTCTACCCTAGAGGTTCTCTGGTTCTCCACCATTCCTGTGCCTGGAATCCTCTGGGATCTTGTTAAGGACGAGGCAGGGATGGTGATAAGAAAGCCTGGGAATCTGCGTCTTTACGGGCACCGGGTGCTGGGGATGCACAGTCCTGGACCCAGAGGAGTAACAGTGCTAACACTCACCTCCACTCACTCCTGGGGGCCCTCAGTCAGCACTTTGAATTGCTTTTGCCTTGGTTGACTGTGTTTCTCCAACAAGTGGATGGGTGGCTTCTGCCCTGGGCTAAAAGCAGATTCTCTTTTGCATCCACCGTGCTCGGGAACCCTTAGTGTTCTGTCCTCCGGCTGCAAAAGGACTGGCTTTTCTTCGTGGCAGGGGCCCTCTGCCTCCTCTTACCTCGATTTTGAGCTCCTTCCTGGGGCTCCATGCTTCCTGGATTCCCCTTGCACCCCTGCCCCGGTTACATCCTCTTACAGCTGTTCACTCTTCCACAGGAGTCTCTTAATGAGCCTCTTTACCCCATTCCACTGTCCAGACACAATCAGTTACCTGTTGCCAGCAAATTCTGTCCAATTATTATGAACACTCTCCAAAAGATTGATTGTAAACCATAGGCAAACGGGAAGAGAAAAGCCTTCCCGAATCCTAGGGAGTTGCTTACTTTTCCTTGTGCTCCAGTCTCTGCTGTAGCCACCATCCCCTCATGTCTCTGCAGGAGCCTGGGGTATGACATTGACCTTGGCTTTCGTTGCTCCAACACTGTCCACACCTTTGGTCCAGGCCACCAGCATCACAGGATCTGATCAGTAGGTATTGCTGCGGGTGGCTAGACTTTTGCTAAACACTAAATACAGGTTGGCTTTCAGGAACTCAGTCCTGGAAAAGACTTAGCTACAAAACATGCCCCTACAGACCAAATA